ATAATAATAATAATAATAAATGGCATTTTATAGCGCTAACCCCACTCTACACCAAGCTCTATGCGCTTTACTCTGTATTAATAGTATTACCCCAGCAGACCTTAGCACACTCCGAAATATTCTCAGCTTCCCGAGAAGCAGAGTAACTCAAAAGGGCCAAAAATACCAAATAGAACTTTGTAATTCTAAGGTAACGAACTTACTCCACAGCGCTAGACTACCCAAGATCAAAGACGCTCCGTGGACATTCAAAGGCCATCCACACATCCGCATGGTAGTTCACCGTGTTATCATCAGCTGAGGGCGCTGAGTCCGCAATAACCTCTCTTGAAGGAGAAATAACCCTTCTGGTCTGAGCTGAACCATGATCTTGATCAGCTACATTAATGTGGACGATAATATATTATTGTATTAATTAAATGAAAAGTCAAAGTCCAAAGCTTTGAAAAGCTCTGCTTGTGGTGTGGCAAAGTGACTATCAGTTCACATTCAAGCCCTGAAACATGACACATTATGATTTATTTCATTAACTCGCTGAGGTCGCGCTTTCTGGTCCTTTCACATTGAGAAATTTGATGTTAAAGATGCTGAGTTTTACAACATGTCTGGCTTTTTCGAATGCAATTCTTTGAATATCTTGATATCGACTCCGAATGATCTTCTTATGAGTTTGATAGAGCAGATAGAACATTTGGTTTCTGACCTCATTATGGCCTTAGTAACTCAAAACGGTAAAAAATGTCAGAGATAACTTGGTAATTCAAAGGTGACGAGTTGTTGAAGACGTGTTGCTTTGTTGGCGCTTTGAAAAAAGAAGACTTCAATATTAATACAGATTTTTCTGTTCTGTTTTGTTTAGTATGAAATGCAAATTTGTGTTTCTGCATTTCGCTACCTTAGAAGCACAAAGTCCTCTGACATTTGTTTACTGTTTTGAGTTACTTTATAAGACCATGAGACCAGAAAAGAAATATTCTATCTGCTGTATTAAAATCGTAAGATGAGTCGTTATCAAGATATTCAACACACAACTGAATTCGAAAAAGCTTGACACAGTGTGACACTCAAAATTTTTAATGTCAAATTTCTCAAAACTAAGTCATGAGCAGATAGAACGTTATTATAATTCTAGCGTAGCAAGTTGTTGAAGACGTTGTTTTCTTGGCACTTTGAAAAAGAAGCTAATTTCAATATTTCTACAGATTACTGTTTTGTTTTCTTTCAACGGCTGGTAGCAACATACTTACTTACTTTCTCTCTCTCTCTCTCTCTCTCTCTCTCTCTCTCTCTCTCTCTCTCTCTCTCTCTCTCTCTCTCTCTCTCTCTCTCTCTCTGCCGTCAGATACATTAGGCGGAGAGCAGTCGATGCCACCTTTGTCTGTCCCTGACCACATCCTCCAATTTCGGCAAATCCAATCCCTGTGTGATTGCCTCATCCCTTATTGTGCGTCTATAGCTTCTAGTTTGTCTTCCTCGTTTTCTTTTTCCAGTTGGTTTCCAATACCATGTCTGATAGGGCAATCTTGTATTCGGTATTCTTAGAACATGTGCTAGATATCTCCATCTTCTGGTAACAACTATGAAATACAATGTATACAGGTTAGTGTTTCTTCATTGGTGTATGATGGTTCAGAATGTGCCGCGACAGGGCTTTAGTTTAGTTTTAGTTAGAGTTTTAGGGCACTTTCAATATAATAGGTCATATAAGTGCCGAAGATTAGAGGTGTTACAAGAGAGTAACAAACACAAAAATTAAGGAGGAGAGATAAGGGCGATAGATGTTGGTAGATGTTGGATTGGAAAGAAGGAGCAAACCATACCAGAACAAAATGGCCCTTGGTCTGCTTCTGATCGCCACTTCCTTATTAAGGAAATAAAATGGTGAAATGGTATAGGTTTAACGCCCCTGCCAACACTTATCCTCATTACGGAGTTAATAATAACGACGTATTATTATTGTGAAAAGCATCAGTAATAGTCCAGTTTTGTGTCGATGTGCTTCTCTTTACTCAAACAAACAGGCAAACAGTAGTGGGTTGTTGCTGGGGGAAAGAAAGACAAAAAGACAGACAGAGAGACAGAAAGAAATAACAGGGGACAGGTAAAGACGTATGACCTGCCAGTCAGTGGTGCCCTCTACTACTACTACTACTACTACTACTACTACTACTACTACTACTACTACTACTACTACTACTACTACTACTACTACTACTACTACCTCAAC